CGGTGTCAGCCTTCGAGGGGGCTGATTGCCAACATTGTGAGAAGCTTTCGCTTCGCATGCTCCGCTCCCGCCTGTCACTTTTCGAGGAAAGTGTTCAGGTTCGCGGTTCTCAGGGTGCAGGACCCGCGTCTGCCGAGGCAGCGCGGAGAATGCATTCCTGGGGATCGCAAATGGATCTCTTTATGGGGGTGGAGACGGGTCCGAGGATCTTTTCTCCTCCTTTCCCGAGGGATCCATTGCTCTCTCTCCGGTTTTGGAAGCCGGTAATCTCCGCGGTTACTTCCGCCCGGGGAGAGAGATCAATGCTTCAGTACTCTACCTCCGAGGAGGTAGATATACTGGGCATTGAAAGTGACACAATCACGGGGGAAGAGGATTCGCCACCTCTTTCCCCAGCGTATGAGGAGCTGATGGAGGTGATTACTAAGGCTGTAGATTAATTAAATATTGAATGGCAAGCAGATAAAAGGGGCGCTCGTCCTAAAAATAAATTAAACAAGTTTCCTTCCCCCTATTGTTTCACCCCCATCACGGCGCCTTCCATTTTTTCCTGATCTGCACAGCGAACTGTCTAGATCATGGGAAAAACCTTACTCATCTTGTATCAGCCCCCAAGTTCATGTATATTCAGATATTAGGGGGTTGAGAGAGTATGGATATGGGGCAATGCCCCGGGTAGAACAGACGCTTGCGAGCTATCTGTCTCCCGGTTCAGCATCGTCCCTGAAGGCGCCGGCTTTTTTCACTAAACCATTAAAGAAAACTACTTCTAATCTAGTGGGAAAAGCATATACGGCAGCGGGTCAAGCTGGAGCCTGCTTACACTCTATGGCAGTGTTACAAGCATATCAGGCTGACCTGCTGGGGTATTTGGACATAAGTGAGGGAGTTAAGCCCGATGGGGTTCGAGAACTTCGTCGGGCCACAGATTTATCTCTCAGGGCTATTAAGGAGACCGCCAGAGCAATCGGGCGGTCTATGGCAGTCCTTGTGGCCACTGAGAGACACCTCTGGCTCAATTTGACGGAGATCAAGGAGAAAGATACAGCTGTTTTTCTTGATGCTCCCATCAATCCTTCTGGTCTCTTCGGCGACGCGGTTGTTTCGGTCATCGAGAGTCTCCAGGAGGCCAAATTACAGTCAGAGGCGGTTAAAATATCTCTCCCTCGCTATGTCCAACCCCCTGGGCCTGCTGGGCGTGAGCAGCTCCAGCCGTCTAATTTCTCATACGCACCACAGCAGCCAAAGCCTTCAAAGCAGAAGCCGGATCCGAGGACCGTTCTTCACGCTGAGAAGGCTTTGGCTCAAAAGAAAAGGTCTTGGCGCCACCGGCGTCAGACTGGTGAGGGCAGCCCCAACCAGGGTGGAACGGTGTACACCTCATTATACGGTGCCCGTTCCATCTCGGTGTCCTCACGAGACCGTTCTGCCAACCCCGCCACCCTTGGTGCTTCGGGACGCAGCGGTCTCTCAACTCGACATTGGGTCAGACTCGCGCCCTCTGAGGGGGGTTCGAAAACAGTCAGTTCGGGTAGTTCCTGCCAGTATGCTTCAGGTCCCCGAACTGGCTGTCTCAACTACACCAGAGGCCAGCCTCGAGGGGCTGGTTCCCTTGGTAGATTTTCTGGCAGCGCGGAAGCTACTGCCAAATATATCTCTATGGGTCCTGCAGTTAGTAGCAAGAGGCAGATTCCAGTTTGGTTGTCGTCCTCCAGGCGGCAACACGGAGTTCAACGGTAGTTGCAGGCGGCAACTACCGTTGCTCACGGTAGTGCATCCCGAGCAGGCTCTGGTAATGGATCCAAAAAAGGATGGGGAGCTGCATCATTTTCTAAATCTTCTTCTGTTGGAGTGTTCGGTGCTGGAACTCAAGTCCATGTTGCTGACACTCAAACAGATCGTGACTCAAACCAGATCCGAGGACTGGTTGGTCACGATAGATCTGAAAGACGCATAATTCCATATCTCCATCCTCCCTCAGCACAGGAGGTTCCTGAGGTTTTCTTTCAGGGGCAAAGAACACCAGTATCAGGCACTTCCTTTCGGTCTAGCTCTATCATCCCACACATTCACAAAGTGCGTAGATGCAGCTCTGGCCCCGTCCAGGCTGCAGTGCATACGCATTCTGAATTGCATAGTCGACTGGCTGATTCTAGCGTAATCAGAACAGTTAGCGGTTCGGCATAGAGGTGTCGTCCTCGCTCATATGCGGAGGTTGGGGTTGAGGCTCAATACCAAGAAGAGTGTGCTTTCTCCAGTACAGAGTACCACTTTTCTTGGAGTGGTTTGGGATTCAGTCACGATGCGAGCCATTCTGTCGCCCGCTCGTGTAGCTGTTATCCTTACTGCCACAAAAGAGCTAAGGCTAGGCCAGTCACGGACTGTGAAACAGTCCGAGGGACTGTTAGGCCTCAGGGCAGCAGCGTCCAATGTGATACCCTTTGGCCTGCTGTACGTGAGACCTTTGCAGTGGTGGCTCAGGACCAGAGGGTTCTCCCCGAGGGGAAACCCACTCCGTACGATCAAGATCACGCGGCAGTATCCCTGCGCCTTGGTTATATGGAGGACACACTGGTTCTTGTCCCAGGTTCCGGTGTTGGGAGCTCTTTGCCATCGAGTTGCTATCTCGACAGAGGCTTCCCTCACCGGCTGGGGAGCAGTATTGGAAGGCCGCTCAGCTCAGGGCTTGTGGAGGAGTCATCATCTCTCTTGACACATGAATTGCCTAGAGATGATGGTCATCTTCAATGCGTTGAGACATCTCCTCCCAGACCTGAGGGGCCATCATGTGTTGCTCTGGACAGACAACACGCTGGTGGCCTCTTATTTTTGGCCCCTCAGGAAAATACGCTCTCTGAGGGCAGTGTATATTCCAGGGGGCCAGAAAAAGGGAGCAGACACCCTGTCGAGGCAGGGGCTGAGGCCAGGGGACTGGAGACTCCACCCCAAGGCGGTGGAGCAAATATAGGAGATTTATTACCAGGCACAAGGGGATCCGTTTGCATCTCAGTACACGACGCGCTGCCCACTTTGGGGTCCACCCGTTGGGGCTGGATGCTATGGTGCAGACGTGGCTGAGGCTGCATCTGTACGTAATTTCCCCTGTTTCTCTGCTCCCAGGAGTTCTGGAGATAATCCGCCAGGATGGAATAAGCCTACTGCTAGTAGCACCACGCTGGCCGAGCCGAATTTGGTTTGCGGACCTAATTCTTCTCCTCGACGGCCCTCCCTTGGAGGTCCCGATCAGGAGAGACCTTCCGTCTCAGGCAGGGGGCGCAATATCGCACCCCCGGCAGGGGATTTGGAAACTGTGGGTTTGGTCCCTGATGGGGGCCCAACTCATAGAGAGTGGTCTCTCAACCGAGGTTGTTGAGACCATTCTAAGCTCCAGAGCTCCCGCAAAGAGGAAACTTTATGCACTAAAATGGAGAGTTTTCACTTCTTGGTGTCACCAGCATCAGTGGGATCCAGTTAACTGTTCAGTGAACACAGTACTTGAGTTTCTGCAAGAGCGCTTTACGTCAGGTTTATGTCCATTCACGCTCAAGGTATACGTGGCGGCCATAGCGGCTTTCCACGCCCTGGTGGGTGGTACATCGTTGGGTCGAGACCCCCTGATCACACGTTTCCTTCGTGGCACATTGAGGCTGAGGCCTGCAACTCGCACTAGGGTGCCGGCTTGGGACCTCGCAATAGTTTTAGAAGGCCTGTCTAGGGCTCCATTCGAGCCCTTAGATTCGGTGTCAGAGAAATTTCTTACTTTTAAGACTATCTTTCTGCTAGCTATTTCTTCCCTCAAAAGAGTCGGAGACCTTCAGGCCCTTTCGGTTTCCCCCACTTGCCTTGAGTTTGCACCGGGGATGGTCAAGGCATTTTTATATCCAAAACAGGGATACGTCCCTAAGGTGCCGACCATGATTCCGAGGCCTATTGTGTTGCAGGCTTTCTGTCCTCCTCCTTTTACCTCTTCGGACCAGGAAAAGCTGAACCTCTTGTGTCCAGTGCGAGCACTAGACACTTATGTTCATCGGACTTCTTCATGGAGAAAATCCGACCAGCTATTTGTTTGCTTTGGATCACCCAAGAAAGGTCTTCCTGCTTCTAAGCAGACGGTCAGTAAGTGGATAGTCGAGGCTATTTCACTTGCTTACGAGTACTCTGACCAGCCGTGTCCTTTGGCGGTCAGAGCTCACTCTACGAGGGGTATGACAGCCTCTAAAGCCTTATTTTTTGGGGTCTCTCTCCAAGACGTTTGTGACGCGGTGGGCTGGTCCTCACCGCTCACGTTCGAGAGGTTTTACAGCTTGGACCTGGATGCTGCCCCAGGGTCCCAGGTGCTTAGTGTTTAGTTGACAACAGGCTGACACTCAGGTACTTGAAAGTTTGGCGTTTCGGGTATTCTCGTTCCCAAAGTGTCATCGACGCATCGCGAGTTCCCTCGAAAGGGAATGTCTCAGATTACGTCTGTAACCATAGTTCCCTGAGATAGTGACGTCGGCGCAAAAGGGGTCTATTGGATCCGACAGGAATGGTGCAACACAATATGTGAGTAAAATTTTTATTTAAAAAATAATAATAATCTGATAGGCTAGTATTGCATTGTTACAGATCGTTTGATACTAATAATTATGTGTACGTGTCTAATCAGTCGCAGAAGAGTCCACCTATGAAGGATGTAGCTTGTCAAACAGAATTTAATTTAACATCACAGGGCACACAGCTGGCTTTTGGAACCTTGGGACCTAAATTCAGAAGCAAAGGTTTGTTTATATCTGTACATTTGTCACTCATGTGAGTAGCATCTCTGTCAACTCAACTTATTTTAACATTTTTAAACACAAATGTCAAAAAAAAAGTCTTCATTGGTGGCAATGGTCAGCCATTTTAATGTATAATGTGACATTGTACATTGTATTTTTTAAAGGCGTGTTAATGGTTGATTGGTTGTATTTTTTCTGACATATCACATATAGGCTTGTTTTTAAATGTTGAAGTTAATGTTTTTAGTACATAACATATGTATAAATAATATATATATTTTAAATTCTTGTATTTATTTTTATAGGAACACAGACAGAGGTGTCATGTAAAAGTGTAGGCGCTCCATTCACAACTTCAACACCTTTGAAGGATTTTAGGCCAGCAAAAAAAGCTTGTCTAGAACTGGAGGAGGAGAAAAGTCTTTCTTTTGAAGTCTTTGATAGTCAGGACACAACATATGAGCCAGCTGAGTCTGTCACGACTGTCACAGAGTCATCACAACTTCTGTAAGTGGATTTTATCTTCTTTATTCTCATTATAGCCTGTTTAAGAAATCACATAACTTTGTTGGAATGTAATTAGTTTTTTTCTTTCGTTTGAAGATGTACATCGATAGAGCAGGATACAAAATACATTGTATTTGAAAAGTGCCTCTTGTAACTTTTTGAAACCTGCCCAGTGTGCACGAGATGCTGTGACGTTCGGCCTCGAAGAAAAGGTTCTTTTGTTGCAATTGATCAATTGTGCCCACATTGTCAATACTTTAGAAAATGGCAAAGCCAACCTGTTGTTGGCAGCACATCTTTGAGCAACCTCCAGTTATCTGCTGCCATATACTTCACTGGCGCATCCTTCTTCAAATTACAAAAGGTACTTGGAAAGGGAATACTGAAATTCACTAATATAATTAATGGATTAAATACAAAAATGTTTTGTATATGACTTAGGTATTCAACGCAATGCATGTCAAGATGATTACACACAGAACTTTTCGAAAGCATGCCAGCATGTATCTGGAACCTGCAATAATCTATACGTGGAAGAAAGAACAAGAAGAAGTCTTGCGCCAGCTAAGCCAGGGGGACAAAGTGATAGCGGGTGGTGATATGAGAGCGGACTCACCAGGTAAAATAATAATTGTGTTAGCTGTGTTGATTAATTAAATTTATATGTACTTTTGTCAGTCTTTTTTTTTTAATCGTATCATTTATTATGACCATATACACTCACCTAAAGGATTATTAGGAACACCATACTAATACTGTGTTTGACCCCCTTTCGCCTTCAGAACTGCCTTAATTCTACGTGGCATTGATTCTACAAGGTGATGAAAGCATTCTTTAGAAATGTTGGCCCATATTGATAGGATAGCATCTTGCAGTTGATGGAGATTTGTGGGATACAGGGTACGAAGGGTACGAAGCTCCCGTTCCACCACATCCCAAATATGCTCTATTGGGTTGAGATCTGGTGACTGTGGGGGCCATTTTAGTACAGTGAACTCATTGTCATGTTCAAGAAACCAATTTGAAATGATTCGAGCTTTGTGACATGGTGCATTATCCTGCTGGAAGTAGCCATCAGAGGATGGGTACATGGTGGCCATAAAGGCATGGACATGGTCAGAAACAATGCTCAGGTAGGCCGTGGCATTTAAACGATGCCCAATTGGCACTAAGGGGCCTAAAGTGCGCCAAGAACACATCCCCCACAACATTAAACCACCACCACCAGCCTGCACAGTGGTAACAAGGTATGATGGATCCATGTTCTCATTCTGTTTACGCTAAATTCTGACTCTACCATCTGAATGTCTCAACAGAAATCGAGACTCATCAGACCAGGCAACATTTTTCCAGTCTTCAACTGTCCAATTTTGGTGAGCTCTTGCAAATTGTAGCCTCTTTTTCCTATTTGTAGTGGAGATGAGTGGTACCCGGTGGGGTCTTCTGCTGTTGTAGCCCATCCGCCTCAAGGTTGTGCGTGTTGTGGCTTCACAAATGCTTTGCTGCATACCTCGGTTGTAACGAGTGGTTATTTCAGTCAAAGTTGCTCTTCTATCAGCTTGAATCAGTCGGCCCATTCTCCTCTGACCTCTAGCATCAACAAGGCATTTTCGCCCACAGGACTGCCGCATACTGGATGTTTTTCCCTTTTCACACCATTCTTTGTAAACCCTAGAAATGGTTGTGCGTGAAAATCTCAGTAACTGAGCAGATTGTGAAATACTCAGACCGGCCCGTCTGGCACCAACAACCATGCCACGCTCAAAATTGCTTAAATCACCTTTCTTTCCCATTCTGACATTCAGTTTGGAGTTCAGGAGATTGTCTTGACAAGGACCACACCCCTAAATGCATTGAAGCAACTGCCATGTGACTGGTTGATTAGATAATTTCATTAATGAGAAATTGAACAGGTGTTCCTAATAGGCAAGGCAAGGCAAGGCAAGTTTATTTATATAGCACATTTCATTCACAATGGTAATTCAAAGTGCTTTACATAGAAGAAATTAAAATAATCAAAACATAAGAATAATTAAAACAGTTTAGAATAAAAAATAAAGTACAGTAAAAACAGTCGGACGAACAGTGGCACAGTGCTCATTCAGTAAATGCATAGCTAGACAGATGTGTATTGAGTCTGGATTTGAATGTAACTACTGTAGGAGCACATCTGATCTCTTCTGGAAGCTGGTTCCAGCTGCGGCTGGCATAATAGCTAAAAGCAGACTCTCCTTGCTTAGAGTGAACCCTTGGTATTTCTAGCTGATGTGATCCTAATGATCTGAGTGATCTGTTGGGTTTATATTCAGTGAGCATATCTGCAATATATTGAGGTCCTAGCCCATTAAAAGATTTATATACCAGTAATAATACTTTAAAGTCAATCCTAAATGTAACTGGGAGCCAGTGTAGAGACCTGAGGACTGGTGTGATGTGTTCATATTTTCTGGTTCTGCTCAGGATCCTGGCAGCAGCGTTCTGTATGAGCTGCAACTGTCTTATGGTCTTTTTAGGAAGGCCAGTGAGGAGTCCATTACAATAATCCATCCGTCTGGTTTGGTGGTCCCACAAGTAACTTTGTTTCAAGAACTACAATCCTTTGTAAAAGTCTCTGGCAGTTAGTGCAGCAAGTAGATTCCAGAAGAGGCATTTTCTCTTATCCTTTAGAATGTAGGCAGTTGTGTTTTCTTCCCCGGAATGTAAGCAGTGGGAGGCTGGTTGAATAAAATAATTCTGCTTTTTTGTAGTAATCCAAGCGTTTGAGCACTGTGCTGATTAGCTGAAGTTAAAATTAGGTGATAAAAGGAGATAAAATATAAAATATAAAAATATAAAAGCGATAGAGCAAAGCGCGGAGCGGTAAGCAAGAGCGTCCGAACAGTAGCAGAGCAGGAAGTCAGACTAATAATCCTTTAGGTGAGTGTATAAATATACACTACCGTTCAAAAGTTTGGGGTCGGTACGATTTTAAATACTTTTAAAAGAATTCTCTTCTGCTAACCATGGCTGCGCTTATTTGATTAAAAATACAACAAAAATCAGTTATAGTATTAAATATTATTCCAGTGTAAATCAGCTGTTTTCTGTGTGAATATATAGTAAAGTGTAATTTATTCCTGTGATCAAAGCTGAATTTTCAGCATCACCAGTGTCAGTGTCTTCAGTGTCAAATGATCCCTCACAAATCAGTATAATATGAGGATTTGATGCTCAAGAAACATTTATTATTATTATCAATGTTGAAACAGTTGTTGGTCTGTCAGTTGTACAGTTTTTTTTTTTTTTTAGGATTCTTTGATGAATAGGAAGTTCAAAAGACTTTTGTAACATTATAAATGTCTTTACTGTCACTTTCGATCAAATTAATTATTCCTTGATAAATAAAAGTATTGATTTCTTTCCTCCAAAAAATAAAAATAAAATTCTCACTGACCCCAAACTTTTGAACGGTAGTGTATATATATATATATATATATATATATGTAGTCACACATACAAATATATTTTAGGCCACTCAGCAAAGTATGGTGCATATACCTTAATGGACCTTGCGAGCAACATCATGTTGGACATACAGCTAGTGCAGGTGAGTACCAATACATCAATAAACTAAATTCAACTGCACTAACTACATATAACATTTGCTGCTTGTATAATAAATGTCTGAATTAACTCTTTAAATACATTAAATTAATGTATTTGTGTTCCTCCTGGCAGTGTAAAAGACAATAAATGACAAATGTAAACATTGTTAACATTTCAGACAATTTTCTGAAAGGTAAATCACAAGATACAAAAAAAAAAAAAAAAACGGAATAGTAAATGACAAAATATATAAGAAGTATATGGAAGCTCATAGAGAAAAATACAGTCAGTCTAGATTTTCACTGTTGAGTTGCCCATGCCTTGACAAGGGGTCCATTTTGGTAGTTTACCAAGAAGCTAGCCACACTGAACAGTTGATCAATACTCCCACACACAGATAAGGGAATAACTTTTTCAAACAGTTTATTCTCTTTAACTCTCCGGATACACCTTTCAACGTGAACCCGCAAACGGGCGATGGACTGTGTTTGTTCAACATCCTGTTTACTCATCTGAGTTTTCTTTGACAGAAAAGTAGGCCGGTAAACTTTGCAGGGTACAAGACCATCCACAAGAAACCCCTTGTCTACCATAATTGCCATGTCAGCTGAGAGTAATTTTGTAATCCCTGAAGTTCTGAAAATGTCCCTATCACTCATAGAACCTGCATACAATGGAGAGACAAAGGTGATGGGACCATGGGGGGCAATGCCAATCATGGCCTTGAAAGTGGTGTGTGACTTTGAGAACACCTCACTTTGCAGAACAAGAGATGAGGGTGTTTGACAAAATATTTCTGTACAGTCCAGCACCACTTGTGTGTCGGCATATGTGGAAAACATCTCAGGTTACGACTGTAACCATAGTTCCCTGAGAAAGGGAACGAGACGATGCGTCATCGACGCTTTGGGAACGCCCCCAGCATGAATGCGTCTGAGCATCAATGTCAACTAGTCCAATGGAAAGAATGAGCGTCACGGGCGGGTGACGTCATGACCAGGAAGGGATAAAAGCACATCCGGTGCAACCCGGCATTAGCTTCAAAAATGTCGAAGCAAGCCGATCACAGGGATGCAGGAAGTATGGCAGGGTGACGCATCGTCTCGTTCCCTTTCTCAGGGAACTATGGTTACAGTCATAACCTGAGACGTTCCCTTTCGAGGGAACTCGCGATGCGTCATCGACGCTTTGGGAACGAGAATACCCAAAACGCCAGAATTCCAAGTACCTGAGTGTCAGTCTGTTGAAACTAAGCTCTAAGCACCTGAGAACCTGGGGCAGCATCCAGGTCCAAGCTGTAAAACCTGACGAATGTGAGCGGTGAGGACCAGCCTGCCGCATCACAAACGTCTTGAAGAGAAACTCCAAATAGTAAGGCTTTAGAGGCCGCCATACCCCTCGTAGAGTGAGCTCTGACCGCCAAAGGACACGGCTGGTCAGAGTACTCGTATGCAAGTGAAATAGCCTCAACTATCCACTTCCTAACCGTCTGTTTAGAAGCAGGAAGACCCTTCTTAGGTGATCCAAAGCAAATAAATAACTGGTCGGACTTCCTCATTGAAGATGTCCGATGAACATAAGTATCCAGTGCTCGCACTGGACACAAGAGGTTCAGCCTTTCCTGGTCCGCAGATGTAAAAGGAGGAGGACAGAAAGCCTGCAGCACAATAGGCCTCGGAATCAAGGTCGGCACCTTAGGGACTAGGGGTGGCACGGTACATGAAAAAACATCCGAACCGTTCGGTTCGCTTGTCTCGGTTCGGAGCGTGTGTGTGTGTCTCACGGTTCGACGCATGCGCAATGTAGCCTCGTGCCCGTATGTGACCTCAGACGTGTGTTTCCTTTTTGCGGGAAATAAGACGTGTGTGGACATACATTTGAGGCTTGTTCGAGTTGAACCGGCGCTGCACAGAGCGATCGGTGAATGACATCATAGTACCGCGAGAGCGACGGCTCCGTATGCTTTTCAATCACTCTCGCGGTTCTTTGATGTCATTACTAATCGCTCTGTGTAGCGGCGGTTCAACTCGAACACGCCAGTAAAAGTGGGGTATGGAGTGTCAGGTCACGGCATGCGGAGAAGTGGCAAGTGGGAGAGATAAGGAAGGCTAACCGGATTTGGAGGATGCGCCAGCGTCGTATAAGTCTGGTGTGTGGGAACATTTTGGATTTCATGTTATGATATTTAAATATATAGCAGCTACAGTGGCACTTTAAGTTTAGATAAGAACTCCAGTCATATGTTTCCAAATACTGTACTTTAATTTCAAGTGAAAAAAGTGTATCCTCACTCTCAGGGAATAGAAGCATTGTTGATACTGTTTTTGTGTTGAGGTTGAACTTATGTTTCACTTTATGATTATGGCCTTTGATATTGCTATAGCCTAATTATAGGCAATTATGTTTCATGTATTTTGACTTATTTAAAAGAGAGTTTTAAGAGTTTTTCTTTTAAAAGATACAATTTTTGTAAGAGCTACACTTAAGTTGGCAGTTTGATAAATGCAAGTTAATTTCAATCTTTGTGTGCTAAAAATGCACATAAGTTCCTGTAGAGATAGTGATACACATTCTACTTTTTTTGCCAAATAAACGAAAAGCATGTCATCAACGTCTTCTCTCTTGCTGTATCAAAATCTCACCTATAGCTTTCCTCGGAGATGGTCCCAATAATGTGCTTAAAGTCAAGTCAAATTCAGTTTGTGCATGATTGCATGATATAACATTTTTGTTAATACTGTATCCTAAATTGTGGATAATTAAGCTATATATCATATGCTGAAGTACATTTCTGGAGTGTTAAAGATTAAAAGAAAAAATAACAACAAGAACCGTACAGAACCGAAAACCGTGACCCTAAAACCGTGATACAAACCGAACCGTGGGTTTTGTGAACCGTGCCACCCCTATTAGGGACATATCCCTGTTATAAGAATGCCTTGACCATCCCCGGTGCAAACTCAAGGCAAGTGGGGGAAATCGAAAGGGCCTGAAGATCTCCAACTCTCTTAAGGGACGAAATAGCTAGAAGAAAGATAGTCTTAAGGGTAAGAAATTTCTCTGAAACCGAATCTAAGGGGTCGAACGGAGCCCTAGACAGCCCTTCTAGTACTATTGCCAAATCCCAAGCTGGCACCCTAGTGTGAGTCGCAGGCCTCAGCCTCAAAGTGCCACGAAGGAAACGTGTAATCAGGGGGTCTCGACCCAACGATGTACCCCTCACCAGGGCGTGGTAAGCCGCAATGGCCGCCACGTAAACCTTAAGCGTGGAAGGACATAGACCTGACGTAAAGCGCTCCTGCAAGAACTCGAGTACTGTGTTCACAGAACAGTTAACCGGATCCCACTGATGTCGGTGACACCATACAGAAAAAACTTTCCATTTCAGCGCATATAGTTTCCTAGTAGCTGGAGCTCTGGAGCTTAGAATGGTCTCAACAACCTCAGTTGAGAGACCACTCTCTATGAGTTGGGCCCCCTCAGAGGCCAAACCCACAGGTTCCAAATCTCTGGTCGGGGGTGAAATATTGTGCCCCCGGCCTGAGACAGAAGGTCTCTCCTGATCGGGATCTCCAAGGGAGGACCGTCTAAGAGATGGATCAGGTCCGCAAACCAGATCCGACCCGGCCAGCGTGGTGCTACTAGCAGTAGGCTTATTCCGTACTGGCGGACTACCTCCAGAACTCCTGGGAGCAGAGCAACAGGGGGAAATGCGTACAGACGTAGCCTCGGCCACGTCTGCACCATAGCATCCAGCCCCAGGGGGGCTGGGTGAGTAAGGGAGAACCAAAGTGGACAGTGCGTCGTATGCTGAGACGCAAACAGATCCACCTCTGCTTGGCCGTAAAACTCCCAAATTTTCTCGGGGTGGAGTCTCCAGTCCCCTGGCCTCAGCTCCTGCCTCGACAGGATGTCTGCCCCAATATTCTGGTCCCCAGGAATATACACTGCCCTCAGGGAGAGTACCTTCCCCAGAGACCACAGGAGGATCTGGTGCGCCAGCTTGCAAAGCGGACGCGACCGCAGACCCCCCTGACGGTTCAGATAAGAGACCACCGATGTGTTGTCTGTACGGACGAGCACATGATGGCCCCTCATGTCTGGGAGGAATTGCTTCAACGCATTGAAGACAGCCATCATCTCCAGGCAATTTATGTGCCAAGAAAGATGATGACCCCTCCACCGACCCTGAACCGAGCGGCCTTCCATTACCGCTCCCCAGCCGGTGAGGGAAGCATCTGTCGAGATCGCAACTCGATGGCAAAGAGCTCCCAACACCGGTCCGGTGTTGGGAGCTCGGTTCAGGGTCGGTGGAGGGGTCATCATCTTTCTTGGCACATAAATTGCCTGGAGATGATGGCTGTCTTCAATGCGTTGAAGCAATTCCTCCCAGACATGAGGGGCCATTATGTGCTCGTCCGTACAGACAACACATCGGTGGTCTCTTATCTGAACCGTCAGGGGGGTCTGCGGTCGCGTCCGCTTTGCAAGCTGGCGCACCAGATCCTCCTGTGGTCTCTGGGGAAGGTACTCTCCCTGAGGGCAGTGTATATTCCTGGGTTAAGAACCAGTGTTTCCTCCATATAACCAAGGCACGAAGGCACCGCCGCGTGATCTTGATCATACGAAGTGGGTTTCCCCTCGGGGAGAACCCTCTGGTCCTGAGCCACCACTGCAAAGGTCTCATGTACAGCAGGCCAAAAGGTATCACGTTGGATGCTGCTGCCAAGAGACCCAACAGTCTCTCGAACTGTTTTACAGTGCGTGACTGGCCTAGCCTCAGCTCTTCTGTGGCTGCCAGGATAACAGCTACACGAACGGGCGATAGAGTGGCCCGCATCGTCACTGAATCCCATACCACACCAAGGAAAGTGGTTCTCTGTACTGGAGAAAGAACACTCTTCTTGGCATTGAGCCTCAACCCCAACATCTGCATATGAGCGAGAACGACACCTCGGTGCCGAACCGCCAACTGCTCTGATTCCGCTAGAATCAGCCAGTCGTCGATGTAGTTCAGAATACGTATGCCCTGAAGCCTGAGCGGGGCTA